CTCTGTAATATAAGCTCAAGCTGAAGTGACTTGAGTTGATGATATTGATAAAGTGAAACCGGCACCATGGTCCTCACCAGTCATGTCTGTCGTGGCGCATTGTTGGGTATTGGCAGCCTGATTTCCATCAGTCGATGGAATGCTATGATTTGTTTTCGAGGACAATCTAGATGAAGAAGCTGTTGAACGATGTCTCCTGATACGTACCTCTATTAGTCGGTTTCCTAATCGGTGCCTCTGCGGACTTGTAAGAATATTCAAGATGTTATTCTTGCTCTACTGCGTTCCCCGCTGATTGTTCAATCGCATCAATATAAGCGCAAGGGCATATATTGACGCCAGGAAACCCTGCTACTGAGTTGTTCGGAGACCGTGACATGACCCATCGTAATGTACAAAAAGCGGCGGCAGTGGATGAATGCAACCTTAGCATAACGGCAAACAGAATCAAATAAGGCTCGGTTAAGAGAAAACACTAGTCTTTAGGGGACAAGCGATCGCCGACCTCAGTGCACACGGGAGGTAACGTTGGATCATTATCTCGGGCCTCGAGGTGCGGCACCCATGCTGTAAAACCCCATGATGCCCATAGACTCAAGCCGAGGTTGATGTTCTTGTTCAAAGCATGGGCGCTGCCATCCAGGAAGAGACCGCCTAAACCAGCCAGGAGACTTCAGGTCCTCGGTGCGAACCTATTGGAAAATGACATATCATCTACCTTGACTACGAGCTGCACGATATCAACACGTTTTTGGAATGCTGTGATATAGTTGAGGTGCAGATATCGAAAGGATGCAGAAAGTATGTGGAGCAAAGGATCATGCCGGCACCTCAGGCCTTCAGGAAGGCCTGAAGTGTTGACCTATCCTGTCGGATCAAGCTGATATGACAGTTCGTTGCTGTTGGTGATAGGAATGAGTACTTCAGCGTTTACGAGGTGTCAACATCAGTCAACGATCAAGAAAGCTCCCACAGGGCCAGGCGCTCCAAACTACCATGCCCAGTCTGTTAGAAAAGTCACACCAGTTGTTGACGGTCGAGATACTAGACAACTCTATCCAGTTCTCCGAAGAGGGATATCGGAGGTGAAGAAGTTGTTTGTCCAGCGCGATAGCAGCAAAAATGAAAAATCATTTTACTGGCGCCTGCCGGCGCTTTTGCAAAGACCGAGACAGCATCGTAAACGGAAGTATCTATGGATTTCGGAAATCTCCGAATAGCTGGGCTGCAGTTGCTGAATTCGAGTGCTCTGATAATGTAATGTGTTCAACAATCTTCCCTTCGTGCCCTCATCATTTCCACCTCCCATGTCCAACTCCTCCTCCGTCCCACATCAAAAACCCTTCATTGCTGCAGGTGCTATTCCAGCGCCTATCAAGAAGAGACGAAAGGGGGCAACCCGTCTTAGCTGTGCTGAGTGCCGTCGGTAAGCGGTATTTGGAGATGTCTGACTAATTTACGATCTCGTTAGACTAAAACTGCGATGTGATCGAGGTATTCCCTGTGGCTCATGCGTAAAACGAGGTTGTGGTGCCATCTGCCCTGACGTGCGCTGAGCTTATTGTTCGTGACCCGTTTTCTGCTTACGATGACCATTCGGTAGGGTTCTCTGACGACTGGACAAGGGAATAGGTAATATAAAATATTCCAACGCCGTAATATAATTAATGACGATTTTTATAGATTTGTCCTCGCTTCTACGCAAGAACTACACGAGAAGATATCCGAGTTAGCGAATCGTGTGCGGCAGCTGGAAGACGGATTGCGGAGTGCACACTCTCAGTTATCCCCAGAAGTACACCCGTTGTTGACTGAAGAGCTTTTACGTGTAAAAGCTCCGCTACAACGCGAGCCTGTCACCATGAGAAATCAGAATGCACCTCCAGTGAAGGAGGAGGAACCAAATCCAGATATAATTGATGCTTTTGGGACGTTATCAATAAGCATATCAGGACGTACAAAGTATTATGGCACACAAGCCAACTCTTGGGTGAGTCCATTCATTGGAAATATCTCAGAATGAGCTGAGATGTACTGCGTAGTACTTTCTCCAGGTTTGACGGTTTTCAGCTGCCTTCATCTGGGTCTGATCGTCATTTTTAGAACGAGAATCCAGAAGAAGATGAAGGTGAAAATCCCTTGACAGTCCTCCATACTGTCCTTTCTCCAGACATTCTGAAGAAAGCCTCTGCCTTACCAATTGACTCGGCTGCTTCGGTTACTGAGAGCGAACTTAGTCCACAAGCACTTTGTTGGTATCTTCCGCCTGCCCAAAAGGCTCTGGAACTTCGTCAAACGTATTATGACCATGCAGCATGGATGTAAGTCAATCGGTTGACGCTCCGGTTCCATTATTAAATCTGATACAGGTATAATCCTATATCCCAAGAGGCTTTTGATTCCCAAATCTACTCACACTTCTATGGGCCTGACCCAAATATTCAGTTCAATGACCCCCAGGCTGCGCATCGGCTTTCCCTCTTGTTCATGGTGCTAGCGATCGGTAGTCTCGTAGACACAGGGCTTCCGGCGTACAACTTGGAGGCTGAGCGATATCATCAACTCGCTAGAGCAGCTCTATTTTCGAGTTCCATCTTCGATGAGCCAACCATCCATGCTGTGCAGGCTTTGGTAAGTTCTTTAAGGTCACAAGTACTCGATCTGATCTTGACCCGAATCTTACTAGTTCCTCATTTCATTTTACATGTTTCTCGCTGATCGTCATGGCACTAGTTCTGGGGCTCGATGGGCTATCATGGGGATTGCAATCAAAGTGGGTCAGAGCGTGAGTTATTTCGGTCCTTGGCAAAATCTATATACTAAGATTATGGTCGATAGATCGGGTTACGTGAGTTACAATGCATCGTTTACCTCAGACTTCCCCGACGTTGATGTTTGGCGCAGATCGAGACAGTGGGCGATGGAAAGTTGAGTCTTCAGAGACACAGCATCGACGCGAATTGTTCTGGGAGCTTTTCACCTACGATTCATGGCAGTGCCTTACCTTCGGCCGTCCACCCTCGTTCTCTTTGGCCCACGTGGATTCGAAACTTCCATTCCTGAACGACTCTTCGGACGATAAAAGCTGTATGTGTTACTTTTCTCGCTTTTTATAGTCGATTTGTGATCAAGCTGACATATTCTATGTCAGACTACACATGGAAGCATCGGTTTACTTCAGAATGCATGAACCACTTCCATGACCAAGCCTTCGGTGCGAAGATGCCGACATATGCTACTATCCTGCAACTTGATCGGAAGATGCGGGCTTTCCCGGTGCCTCCTGTCCTACAAGTTGCGGGTTTTGGCAGTTCAGAGCCGCGGCCCGGTGGCTTCCCCGAAACCGTGATGTTGACGCTTCAACGGCACATTGTATTGGCCATCAGAGAAATGAGTACGTCTCGGGTTTCTTTAACATGCTTCTCATGAAAAAAAAAAATGACGATGCACCTACAGATTTGTTATATCTGCACAGAAGCTTCTTCGCACGCGCGATCAGTGATCACCCTAAAGATCCCCTTGGGAGTCCCTATGGAACCTCTGTTATTGCAGCGTACCGCAGTGCAGGGTCGTTGGTGGCATTGATGCGCAACCTCCACTCTCAATTGAAGGAACTTAGTGAGAGAATATGGTTTTTGTGGACTCATATGTTCTCTTGTGCCGTAGGTCTTGACCCTTTTTACCCTGAACTAACTTCGCTCAGCACATGCCAGATTGTTTTGGGGTCCATCGTGACACGGTGTCCTTCAATGAGCCTAGCACCGTCGGCTCTCGTTCAACTTGACTCGGCTTGCGAGCTGTTCTCGAAAGCTGCGAGAGGATTCCGTGCTCAGAAAGTGCTAGTGAGTCTTCCCTCACAAAGTTTCTGGGCCTGTCATACGAGAAAACTAATGTCGGCTTTTAGAGTATCATGATAAATTTACAAGAGAAGGCGCGCTATAGTCTTGAGGAATATAGAAAAGGAAGAGGCTCCCCAATGTCCAAATACGGCCTCTCGCCTACTGAGCCCAATTCGCCTACGAATGACGACGACGAGTTGTCGATTCTAGGTGGCAAGACGCGGTTAGTTGCGAAGAAGGAACCATCGTCACCGACTCTTATCGATCGGTCGCCTGTATCCCAGAAACCCGTCGTCCCCATAAATATTGGACGCCAAGTTCACCCGAGTATCCTAGAATATTTGGATTCCTTTAATCCTAAAGAGCCTCAGCCAAACTACGGGAGCTCTTTGCATCGACATGACTCTGCTGATTCAAGCGGTCATAGCGCCTATCCTGACGATCTATCACCCGTTTCCGTATACGGCATGTCGACAGTGCTCGTTTCGCCTACTTTCCAGACGGAACCGGGACCGTATTCTGCACATTCACAACCCTATTCACAACACTCTCCGACACATCATTCTCCGCAACATACACATCATCATAATATCATGACTGGGAATATGCATCAAGGAACATCCACGCATACCATTCCCCAGTACTTCCCTGTCTATGATTATAACACGAATGTTATGAATGCAGGTGGCCATGTTAATGGAGTGAATGGTTATGGGGATACACCCATGCTCGATGCACACCCTGTCCCCCCGAACCAGCGTCGTTCCTCCGGATCGCCGGAGGGAAATATGCAGTCTACCTGGAATGACTTTGTGGCTGACTTTGCGATGTGAATTTGTCCATCGCACCCATCGCACCCATATATTCTTCATGTATAGTCTCGTTGTAGGTTTTTTGCAATCGTGCCCCGCTCCCAGTTTTCTTATTGCTCTCGAGTGACTTGGTAATTTGTTGGTATTTCTACGTTTTTGGTACGTGCGTAATATGCTGTATCGTACCGGCTTGTAATTTAAAATCTACCCTGTATATGTAGTGTCTTTTTCACCTCCAGTAGTTGATCCTTGATAAAAAAAGCGTCCCCGCTTTTATTCCGATACTTTTGAGAATGATCTGTTTATGGTAAATGGGTGTGATGTTTAAATACGTATCAATTAAGACAACGGGCACATGGTGTAGTTGGTTATCACGCCCGCTTAGCATTTGGTTCTTCCCAATGGATTACTGCAGTTCGATTCTGGGTGCGTCCAAATGGGGTATAGGGGCAACGTTCTAGAGCGGCGTAATAATATATCTAACCAGATCAGGCCGGTTGTACGATAAAAGCACCATAAGGCCGGACAGTCTAGGGCAATACTACGCCACTTGGTACAGACTTGACTGACTATCAGCCATTCACAATACAAAATGTCTCGCTCCATTGCGAGTCTCCATATGAAGATTGTAGCCAATAGCTCCTCTGGTAGGCGCTCAACAATACAGAGTGAATTGTGCAGCTTTTTGAGAGCATGTATAGATTTCTCCAACATATCTATATCACGAGTAATTTGTTCATAGACCAACTCTTTTTCCGCAGTGCTGCTATGACATGAGGCACCAAGACCAGTACTCAGGAGTTCAAGGGGTGACTTAAGACATCAAGTCAGGCGGTATACTGACTAAGACATACGGTCACCTTACCAGTTGGGGCATTGAGATGCGCTGATGTTGGAGACTGCTACGCGTTGGTCGCGGTTTTAGCGGAGTGGGTTGGCCTGGTTTTCGCGAGGTACGAGTGGAGAACAGGGCGTGGTCTTTGAGTGAGGGTGGCTGTGCAGTCACGAGAATCGCTCTCTGCCCCTTACAGCCACCCCAATAAGAATCGTCGCGTTTTTCTGCTGCACTAGGACTCCCAAAATTTTCACCACACCCACCCACCCAGGTCTAGAAAACGAAACATCAAACCAACAACCGAAGAGGTTACGCCTCCATGGAACATGTCGCAGAGGCAGAAACGCAATGCGCCCAGAAAAGGTATCATCAAAACAGCGCCATAAGGACTTCCGCAAAGAGGATCTTGGGGGAGCGGGATGCCCAGTTACCGGCAAGGCGTAGGCAACAGGTAACGCGAAGTCCAAGAATTTTTCCTTCCCACCCACCCAATCGCGGCTAACGCTTGTTTTCAGAGCATTCAGGCGCCGCGAACACTCGCGGAAAGTCGGAGCACGCGGCAGTTGGCCGCGAGACTCACCCATCTCACTGTAAGGTCATACCGAACATCTTGGAAGAACCAAAGCCTTGTGAAATAATTGTAATCTGCCACACGCCGTAGTTAACGCGAATAAACAATAGTCATATGTGTTTCAGCACGCGAGGAACTCAAAGAGAGGGAGTCAAAATGGGTTGTTGGTGTCATGCTCTGTCATGTGACGTCGTCAACCACGAAGACACTTGCAATGGCAGTGATAGCCTTGACGACAACAACAACGACAAGCACTAAGAGACCAGAGAAGCCCTGAACCTAGGTCAATCTTGTAGTTTGTAAGTACCTTTTCACAAAAGCAGCAAAATCCTTTCTGCAGTGATAATCTACCATATATCTTTATAAGTAGGTTGATCCAGTCATTGAAGGGAACAAATTTACAAATATGTATACGGTGATGGACTGTATCTGAGTTACATGAGAACGACGGTAGACTGTGGATCTGCTCAATCGATATTCCTGGTCACGCCATCATTCCTACCATATTTGTGCTGCAGTATTCAAGTCATATTATATGATGTCCTCCAGAAGTCCTCTCCAAATCCACAGGATTACCAATAAAACCTAAAATCACAATAAAAGATTCAGACGCCTGGAGGATCTCTGCTGCTTGCTGCAGTGCATCAACAGATGGTGAAAGCATGAAATCAACTATTTCTATGTCCTGTGCCACTGGCGAAAAAGTGGCGCATTCGCCACTCGTAGCTTTGTACGGCGCGTACCCTGCAGGTAAAGTTCATAGATCTCAATCTCACTGGAAGATGCCAACCTCACACCATCCCTTTTGAGTTCGAGGTGACCCACAGACTTCATGGTCTCTTGGCTGCGATACGAAGGGGTGAATCCCCTCGTATGGCAACGTCAAAGTGTTTGAGTAAATAATCGGACACTGTTTTGATTTTTGCCCTCAGTGACACTGCATAAAATGTCGCATTCAGAGTGACTCAAGGTGATATCGAGTTGTAAGAACACGAGATAAGATAAGATCGACAATCGATGAGATAATCTTGAGGCGATAAGCAGACAGAGGGCGACGAGAGAATTGAGGATAGCTTAGAGATTGATAATGTGAAAATACACTGTGTTGACGCTACGCTGAATACAAAGTTATACATAGGTTTTTATAGAGGTAAATGTCTGTGATGAAATCAACGAGTAAAACAAAGTGAATGAAACTGACTGAGATAAGGAAAAGAATCAGGGTGAGTCCATAAGAATAATCGCAGAGGTGATGAGTAAATGACGAAAAGAGAATGGCGGAATGTATGGAAATACCAGATATCGAGAAATAGGATGAGACGAGGGCTCAAGGAAGAATCGAGGGTGATTGGGATTCGGAGATCGGAAATCGGGTTTGGTCTTGG